GCGGTAGTGAGCGGTTGGTGGGAAATTTCCATATTGGGAAAATTGGTATCGTATTTTTGTCCACCGCGAGGTCAAGTGACGGTCATCTCGAGCTGTAATATCCCACGAGTAACCAATCCTACAGCATGTACGCAGCCACGCCTAGCTCCTCTCGGAGATATGGAGTGTGTGCTTCAATTTCTGCCTTCAAATCGTTCTGATAAGTTTTCGATACTATACATTATTTTTCTAGATATAACAATTGCCTTTTACTGACATCCCCTTGCTTACTCTTGCCGCTGTTTCTTACCAGAGACACTCATTAGATAAAATGAACCCAGTTCCGATGTTCTGCGCAATTAAAGACACAGTCCACGACGATCGTGTAGGCGGGGCCAGGCTTACCGTTGTGCTCTTCTCGTTAATAGGCTTATTCTCACTAAGTTTCTGGAAAGTCAGGACCGCACCAATGAGGAAGGTATGATGACAGGTCTCACCCCGCCCACACAGTCAGCGTGGACTCTAGCTTTAGAGGAAAGTTGACTGTTCTGGAAAAAGCGATCCACGTCTCGAACGACCTGTGAAGAATTAGTAACAGAGTGTAACAAAGTGTAATATTATGGCGATGTTTCGGTCCTTGGTGAATCCCTCCCTCTCGCAGTGCTCGACAGACTTTTCTAAGGATTCCCGGGAAACCTCTAGATTTCGCGCTGGGCCATGGTGATAAGGGAATGGTTCTTCTACTGAAAGAATCCGTGGAAAGCTTGAACGGGCCGCATGGGAGGGTTCCGGTGGAACACTGACGAAATACAGCAGAGCAGTGTAGATGTTGGTTCATCTAAGGTGCCATTTAGCATCCATCATATTTTTTTGGCCCTTCCTGAATACGAAGTTCATCTTTTCTTTACTTCCTTCCTGAGTAGGATGCATTGTTTTTTAAATACCCTAAGTACACAGCCTATCCAAAGCTGTTGTTGAGCCTGAGCAGTAGCCGGGGAAAAACGCTGAAGTGATAGCTGAATCGATGGATCATTGTCTACGAGACAGATGTCCTTCGATATCGAGTTCGTCAGCGTCGTCGCTGCTCGTTCCACCTGCGATACATCGAGAAAAAAATTTAATTGCATTCACTACCCAGCGCTTTGTTTTCAGCCTTCATTAGACCAATCTATTCCTTGTTTCCCCAGCATTTGTTCTAGCCAGAGAAAGGGCTACCCTCCCACACACTGAATATCTGGTTGAGGGGATACGAACTGTTGCCTGCACTCTTTCAGGCTTATTCGCTTTGATTTGCCATCTAAGTAGGCATCTGTGCGAAAAGGTGCAAAGAAAGGGGTCACTCATGTCAACCCTTAGCTTCGAGAGATCGTATTTTGATGGTTATTGCACTTGGTGAGAAACGTGGGGTATGTGACAAGAGAATCGTAATTCGCCGCGTCAGTGGGCGTCGCGTGCGACGTCGCGCCCGCCAATGACGACCTTCTAGGTCGTATTGGTCGAGAATAGACAATGTATGACCAAAAACAGCCATAAATGTCTACGATATCCTAGTATACATAAAATCCAATGCTCCTATCGGAAGGGTCATGCAAAGTAAGAAAACGTCGCGCCCATCGTCCAAAGCGGCAGCTTACGATTCTCTTGACCGTCTCACGAGAAGCGTGCGAGTGGGTTGTAGTCATTAGTTGGTGCAGCACAGTATTGAAGCAGAACTTTACCTGGTTCTGAAGCTGATTCTGTGGATGAAAGGAACCCTGGAAGAGTTGATTTCAATTTGCCACAGTTCCCAATCCAGAACAATAAACTCACCTCCAGTCCGCTGTTCATATGTGAAGCTAATTGGAAGTCGCCGTTCTGACTGTTCCTAGAATAACAATGGAAAACTGGAGTTGGTTGAAGCAAGGAAAGATGGAGAAATTGTAAGATATCTAAGCAATGGTCTCATCTAACGAAGCCGTCGTTGGCACGATGCCAGCGGCTAACTCGTCCAGAACTGCTTTCTGCCGTCCAGTGTCATGCAGAACAAGAGTTTTTTTGCAGGTTTTCTACCGTTTCACTCCGTTTTTCACTTCACTATATGGCACCCCTGCTACCACTCTAGATTGAGCACCAAATTGTCGCACCTGAGGCTTTCTAGAGGAAGGGAGAATGGATCTATCTTGCTCAGTAAAACTGGACTGTCTCTGGCAGGCTATGACGCACGTAGACGCCCATGAAACGGCGCCCCAATGTCATAGACGAAAAGGCAAGCAGGACGAGAATCGCTCGGGGCCGGCCGCTCGCATTTTGAGAGATTATGGGCGGTAAACAGAAGAGTTGCGCTCCGATCTGGTCACACAGTCTGGCTGGTATCGATCGGCACTGAGCGCTACGCGGCCAACGAGAATACAGAAGAAAGGGAGAGTACCAGATTGCGTGACGGCAGCGAATGCTTTCCTACATTCCTATACTTTCTTAACACAAATAGAAACGGCTGTTCTCTCTAATTCCCCGCCTGTGGCTGCGTTTGCGTCTGGCACTAGAGCAGTGCTGCAATGGTAGCGCGTCGACGCGCGTCGTTGCGATGGCTGAAAGCGGCCTAGAAACCCAGACTGCAATAGCGTAAGCGAAATTTGATGCCAGTTCCATTTGGCGTCGTTTCGGGCACTTTTTATGTCCCGCAAAAAAGTAAAAAACATAATACCGAGCATAAGACGATAAAATATCGAACCTGGCAAATTATTTCGCAGTTATGGGGTTGAACAAAGCCAGCCCTAAGCAATACTCTGGCTGGTAAAATAGTTCGATGACTATATCTTTCAAGTGAGTTGGAAAACACCACAACATTTTTCTTTGGCCCCAGTAATCTTTTCAAGTGCCACAAGAGGGCAGTGAATTAGCAGACGTAATGGTGGGTTGCCTCGGGTTGGAATTGCTGCTATTTTTTTTGGATAAAAACCATACAAAAAGTTGGCCATTGAAAATTGGAAACCATTATGAAACCTAGTTAGGAGAGGGGAAAACAAGTCAACTCAAGAAACATTCAAGGAAGTATGGATTTGAGTGATAAAATAAATAAATAACGGCTTGAGACGATGACGTAGTAGTGTATAAAATACCTTGGAAATGTTGTGGAAACAAACTGGAGCCCTCACTACGGACCAGGTCCCGAATCAGTTCCACACTGGTTACCCAGAGCTTTCACTCCTAGGAAATCGGGTATTCAGTACCAGGCCTGTTTTATAGGCAAAAGCGCTGACTGATGGATCGGCTGGGCCCGCGAATCAATGTGTATGCGGAACTGCATTCAATATACAGCTGAGATATACACCTTATCCACAAGATGGAGTAGGCGGGGCATTTGGACATGGCATGGATTAGATTACTCTTGCGATATTCCAACTTGGGACTACTGTCATCTTGTTCCGTATTGGGTAAAGACATGACCACAGTTGTCTCGAAACGAAATAATTTACGCAAATGGATAGCGCGCGCGGTCAGGCTTGTTTAAGTAAGGCAGGCCAACGCTAACGTCTCTCTGGGATTCCAAGTATACTCAGGGGGGGGGGGGGGAACGCGTGGCGCGTCTCAGAAAGGAACTGAAGCAACGGGCGCCTAGTGGTGAGGGTGCACTAGTGAACTTGACTCCGAGCCGCAG